TTTTTGCTATGCATTTGTTTCACATTATTTGAATGACATCTTCTTTAGGCTACTCATTTGTATTATTATTATTATTTATTTTCTAAAACAACATGGGAGTTTTATTTATATCCCATGTTTATGCAAAACACAAAAATAAGCATCAGTCAAATGTAATTGGGGGGGGGGAGGGAGAGGGGGCATTTCCCCCCCATATTCGCTTATATTAATTGTAACAAAACTAGTACAGTTACAGAAAAGACAAAAATAATTAATTTCTGTTTAGGTGTTAAACAATAATAAATTACATGTAACATAGAGCCAGGAATAGTTTACAAAATGTTATATGTTAAGACTTTACGCGGTAACCAAAACCAAAATGTATACACAAACGTATTTAATTATAGCAGCTACATATATATGGCTATTTACGTAGGAGAATTTTTACATTTTCGTATAAATATTTTATCACCAGTTTCTACATGGTTTACATTTGGTTTGCTTTCTTGTTTTTCACATGTATACAAGCACTATTGTATTGCTGTTACTGTTGTAATATAGAAATATCTATAGTTTGCCATTTATTTAAGATATTTTGATCAAATTCTAGATGAGCCTGTTTTGGGAATCAGACTAACAATATTTGCAGGTTCATCTACTGAGCCCATGTGATCAGAATATCAAGGAATATACAATTTCTATACTATCTTGTTTTTAATGCAGCTGCCCTCCTCCATAGCCTGGTTACAGAAGTTTTATATATATATTCTGGTTGCTTTGGGAAGTAAAACAAAAGCTTCAGTTGCATTTTGTAATTCTGCACCCCATTAGCTCACACTGTGAAGGGCTCCTAGAGCATCCTCCACAGTTGCAATATTGGTAGGTCCCTTCATTGATTCATTAGACTATCTCACCATTTGGAATATAGTTAAATTTATTATGTATATTCTTTCCCCAAATATATTTCTTAGCCAAGTTTGTGGGAGATACTATTAAAGACATGCCTTGTTTCATAATGCCACTTACTTAACTCCCGGTGACATGGTCTTTGTCATTACACTGATCTGCATTAAACATCAATAAAGTGATATCATGGCATATGCTTTAGAAGAAAGAAAATGCTCAATTTTAATTAAAGGGACACTGTAGTCACTATAACCATATCATCTCTTTGAATTGGTTATAGTTCCTGGAGTGCCCTGGCACTGTCCCTCCATTCACTGTTGCACCATGTTTGTGCAGTATGCCACAAAATAATAGTCCCTGGCCACCCACAGTCCAGCCCCTTCTCTATGTGTAGCTAAAGCAGAGATTACATACTTCCTTGTTGTCATACCCATTCATACTGTCAGTTGAAGCTCTGACAGGCTAAAAGCAGTCAGCTGACACTCTCATCCAATCACGCTGCCCATTGCTGCTCAGGCTAATACTTCCTTATTAGTCAAAGCAGCACAGAGGGGATGGACTGCCGGGCACTCTTGTTTAGCATTAAAAACTGTTTAATGGTGAAAGAAATGATGGTACCAGCGGAGTCCAGGCACTATAACCAGTTGAATGAGATGAAGCAGATACAGTGCCTACGGTGTCCCTTTAAACGTAAACCTATCTGCCAGACTAACTCGAATACACAAACCTAACTTTAACCATAAGTGTCCTCCGAACAGAAAATTCTAATTTTAAACCAAATACTATACCTAGTCTTATAATCGGCCCTAACACTAATTCAAAACCTAATTTAAACCTAACAGTAATACAAAAAAAAATATCCTAAAATTAAACCTAACAGTGATAAAAATTGCTGCTCCTCACTTCTCTGTAGTCTCTAGGAGAGTTGGGAGCTCCTGCTAAACGCTTCCAATATCTCTCTTAAAGGAACACCACAACCATAGAGCACTTAAGATGGCCAAATTGCAATATGGCTATGAAGTATCCCTTTAAAAGTCATATTTTCAAAAGTGCCAATTTCATTTTTAAATTAGCACTTTTATAATTAAAAATAGAAATGCCTCCCCAGCTCTCTTGTATGCTGAAAAGAGGTGGAGAGTGGAGTCCAGTAAGAAGTCAAACCATTCTAAAATGGGTTGACTACTTACATTGGGGTGCAGAGGCACTCCTGGCACCATAGCCACTATAGCACCATATCCACTACGCAACTATATATTTCAATTTATAGTAATCTTAATCTAAACCTAATCTTAAAGGAAATTTCTACACAGTAGTGCTGAAGTACCAGGATGTAGCTATCAACGAGAAAATAATGTGTAATAATGTGTATATAAAATGTCTTTTATAATATTTTCTTTTGAAATATAAGAGAAAGAACCCTGCTCTCTGTATGCTGTCAAAACATTGAAAACTAGGTACATGCTTTGTTTTAGATTAATGATACGTTATATTCCAATATTAATTAGCATATCTGTTACAGCATTTTGAAACTAAATAGAGTATTTTTCTATAAATGTGATGTGTAAGTAATTTAGTATTTTGTGTATTATGGAATTAAATATTCTAGTGACATTAATTTGCTTTGATCATAACACTGACTATGTTATCTGTATTGTGTATTAAAAATGTGAAGAAAATTAGCATACAGAATAATTAAATAATTATAAATTAGTATATTCTATTTTTAATAATACATTATAATGGAATAGTCATTAATATGCATATACTTTTAATTTGAATTCTAGCTAAAGCTTCTTTAATATGTATCACAACTATAAATAATAAAGAATCTTCATTGTTTTGTATATATTCAACTAAAACAGCCTGTCCTATGTGTATTACAGCTGAGAATAATGCGACCGTTCCACAGTTAATTAAACTTGGGAACAATATACATACAAGAAACTCATTGAATAGGCAATACATTGACTGAAAGCATAACATAACATATCCAATCCAATTTGTATCCATGAAAATAAATTAGCCTAACACAATGCAAATCACAAAAAAAAAAAGATTATTTAGTTTACTAATCAATGACCATATGATTTCACTGTCATGGAGAGCAAGACACCTGAGTTTATAGATTTCATTGATTTTGTTGAATTAGTCATAGACAGCCTTCTAGCAACAATGTTCAAAGTCTGGGAAAATAGACTTGAGAAATATTGAACATTGTAGCATTTGAGGCATATCTGAACACACGGGGCTAGATTCTCTCAGCAGGGTATGGGTTTACTTACTGAATTGCAATTTTCTCGTAGACTTCAATGGAGGATATGTTATTCAATAAACATAGAAACATAGAAACATAGAATGTGACGGCAGATAAGAACCATTCGGCCTAGTCTGCCAAATTTTCTAAATACTTTCATTAGTCCCTGTCCTTATCTTATAGTTAGGATAGCCTTATGCCTATCCCACACATGCTTAAATTCCTTCACTGTGTTAACTTCTACCATTTTAGGTGGAAAGCTAGTCCAGGCATCCACTACCCTGTCAGTAAAGTAATACTTCCTGATATTTTTAAACCATTGCCCCTCTAATTTAAGACCATGTCTTCTTGTTGTGATCGTTTTTCTTCTTTTAAATATAGTCTCTTCCATTACTGTAGAAACAGAAAAAATTGAAAAAAGCCAAAAAGCCAAAAAGCAATTCACCTTTACTGTGTTGATTCCCTTTATGTATTTAAATGTTTCTATCCTATCCCCCCTGCCTCGTCTTTCCTCCAAGCTATACATGTTAAGCTCATTTAACCTTTCCTTGTAAGTTTTATCCTGCAATCCAAGAATAAGTTTAGTAGCCCTTTTCTGAACTCTCTCTAAGGTATCAATATCCTTCTGGAGATACGGTCTCCAGTACTGCGTACAATACTCCAAGTGAGGTCTCACCAGTGTCCTGTACAATGGCATGAGCACTTCCCTCTTTCTACTGCTAATACCTCTGTTGTACCTAATGTAACAATGCAATGATTTGTGGACCCAGGACATACTTGAAAACGAGAGAAATCTCAATGTATCTTTCCTGGAAAAATATTTTATAAATAAATAAATAAATTCTGCTAGCATTTCCTGCTGCTCTATTTCATTGTCTGCCTACCTTTAAGTCATCAGAAATAATCACCCCTAAATCCCTTTCCTCAGATGTTGAGGTTAGAACTCTATCAAATATTCTGTATTCTGCCCTTGGGTTTTTACGTCCAAGATGCATTATCTTGCACTTATCCACATTAAATGTCAGTTGCCACAGCTCTGACCATTTTTCTAGTTTACCTAAATCATTTGCCATTTGGTTTATCCCTCCTGGAACATCAGCACATACTTTGCCTTAAAAGAAAACCCTGCTTTAATTATGATATTGCTTTATATTGCTATATATTTTGTGTATGATACAAAAAGCCACCTACAATGTAATGTGTGCACAAAAAATGCACAAAATCTTATTTTCATAAACTGTGATAGTATTTTTCTTGTATTTCTACAATAATTATCTTTTATAAAAATATATGTATACAACGTATTCAAATGCCCACTGTGAAATGTGATGACGTACTTTCAAAATTGTTCTGCAGTTATAGGAGATGCTGTCACGTTTAATTAAGTTAAGTGAATAAGTAGAATATGTGGCAAATAGGATTACATACTTGTATGTAAATGAGATATAAGGAGTCATTACATATTTCACTTTTGGCATCAAAGTTTCACTTTTGAATAAAGTTTGATAAACTATGTACATGCTTATTGTTTACATGGTGAAATCAAAATCATATTAACAGCTTTTATAACTGTCTACTTATGTAAAAGTTTACTTTTTTCCATGGGGAAAAAGGGGAATAATCCCCCCTGTTTTACATGATGGCCAACAAAATTGCTCAGTATCTTCTGTTTCCAAGGGACTTAACACACACATATTTCAGTGCTACATTCACTACCATTTTTGTATATTTAAGATTATTGTGTAAAAACAAGACATGAGTTCAGGAATTAAAGGGACACTATAGTCACCTGAACAACTTTAGCTTAATGAAGCAGTTTTGGTGTACAGAACATGCCCCTGCAGCCTCACTGCTCAATCCTCTGCCATTTAGGAGTTAAATCCCTTTGTTTATGAACCCTAGTCACACCTACCTGCATGTGACTTGCACAGCCTTCCATAAACACTTCCTGTAAAGAGAGCCCTATTTAGGCTTTCTTTATTGCAAGTTCTGTTTAATTAAGATTTTCTTATCCCCTGCTATGTTAATAGCTTGCTAGACCCTGCAAGAGCCTCCTGAATGTGATTAAAGTTCAATTTAGAGATTGAGATACAATTATTTAAGGTAAATTACATCTGTCTGAAAGTGAAACCAGTTTTTATTTTTCATGCAGGCTCTGTCAATCATAGCCAGGGGAGGTGTGGCTAGGGCTGCATAAACAGAAACAAAGTGATTTAACTCCTAAATGACAGTGAATTGAGCAGTGAAATTGCAGGAGAATGATCTATACACTAAAACTGCTTTATTTAGCTAAAGTAATTTAGGTGACTATAGTGTTCCTTTAAACACTACCTGCTGGCTTGCACGGAGAGAACTAAATATATATATTTATCCACAGTTTTCCGCCCAGTATTTTAGATTTTATTAAAGTTTATCCTATAGTTTTCTAATCTTATTTGTTCATACTTGTATTACATTGAAATCCACGATCTCTGAAATATTCCACATAACATTATTTTGAAGAAAACTTTTTTTTTATAACACATATAATTCTTAACTAAATGGTATTATAGGATAAGATATTTTTGACATATTTTTAAATTGTGATGGTTACATAAATTACATCACTAACTTGAAAATAGTCAAGAGCCTGTAAATAGAGCAAGCTTGGAAACAATTACCCTCTTTGTGTAAATTAGTTGTTATTTTCTTATTTACTGCCAGTATGTAAATTACCTTCCTATCATTAAGTCACTTCCAGTTCATGCATGATGTACTCTGCTCTCTGTAAATTACTTAACATAGCTAGACAAGTGTCTTTTTAAAGTAGGAAATGTTTGTTGTATATGAACCCTATTATCAGAGCTATTTAGAGAAGCGAACACTCTAAACAGTCTGAAATTCTCATGATATGAACAAACAGATAAGATGTATGTCATGATCCAAATCTATGAATATATCATACCAGCGGCTATTTTGCCAGCCAAACGCCATGTTAAAGGGTCCCCAACCTCCTGTACCCTCTGCACTTACTGACGTGACTTCAGACGTTGAACACGATGGCTCTGTCTCCATTTATGACACTCACAAACAGCAAGAAAATCTTCAGGCTCTCAAGGTTTAATTGAACAGAAAGAAGAGCGGCAACGTTTCGACCTGCTAACAGGTCTTTGTCAAGCTTGGTCAAAACATTGCTGTTCTTTTTTCCGTTCCATGAAACCTGCCTGCGGCTTAAACACCTTGAGAGCCTGGAGATTTTCCTCCTGTTTGCATGGTCATTGTGGGATTGCTGGTCCTGCTCCAGTGCACCAGGCTTCTTCTGGGTGCCTCTTCTTGAGTGCGGCTCCTATCTTCCTTTTTGCAATTCATGGCACTCGTGTCACACACAGCTCTGACGTTCCAGTGTCGCACACACAATGCTGACCAATCACAAAATCCTTGTGCCTAAATAATCACCTCCTCTTGATCTAGTCCTTGCCCAGCTGTTGTTTCCATTCTGGTTAAAGAGTTCTTTCCTTATTGTGTCTGATTCCTGCTTCATTGATCTTGGCTGGTCTCGACCAATTTGATTTCTCTATCCTTACCTTGACTACCTTGGTTTATGGACTCCATGCATCTCTATTATCCTTAACATTGGTTCATTTATTTATATGCAAAGCCCAGTCACTCCAAGGTTTAGTAATGCATTATTATTTTTATTTTTCCTTAACCTGTGTGACTAATTCTGTACGTTGGGTGACAACCTATCCTGACAGTATACTAGTGGAGATAAACAGACAGAAAGGGACAACAGGAGAGAAGAAAAGAGGGGGAAAAGGGAAAGACATAGAAAGGAAGAAATAGCAGAGTGAACGTAAGAGAAACAAATAGTGAAAGAGAAAGAAAATTAATGTAGAAGAGAGAGAAAGAGAAAATGCAGGAGGGAGTGAAAGCAAGAAAGATAGAAAGAGAAATCTAGAGAAGGAGAAAGTAAAAGCAAGAAAATAAAAAATAAAATAAAAGACAGAAAGAAAGAAAAAATATAGAAAGTGGAATCGAGAGAGGAACAAAAGGAGAGAGAGAAGGGTAGAATCATTAACAAAAAAAGACTAAAAGATGATTCATTTTATAACTTCTTTACTGCCAGAGTTGGTTCACAATCTAATGCTTGTGCTCTGTCTAAAACTGTGTTCGTTAAGTGCAAACTGCATCTCTATACTATCTACCCTGACATTTTATGCTTGAAATGCATTGTATCGTGTCAACTAGTATCTGAATGGAATTGCTTCAAGTTGTGAAACTTAAAAATTTTGATTTAAAAAAAAAGGTAGAGTGAGAGAGAGGGAGAGAGAGAGAGAGAGAGAGAGAAGGATGCAAAACAAAGAAATATTTTTTTTTCTTCCTAATTTTCAGGCTTCACTTATTTATCATCTATCAGCTATTTTAGGTATTGACCAGCTATACCTGCCAAAGAGTTTTCAGTTCTTCTTAACAGATACAGTTTATCCATTCATGGCAAAATAATTTATACGTTTTATATAAGAAGATGTTTTGCTTTGTTTGCTTTTATTTTTGGTTTAATCAAATTTTTGGCTTCATCTCTCACAGGAATGTAACACTTTGTCATTAGTAAAATAATACAAATGTTATACGACAAATCCTCTTCCAAATATACTTAGGGAAAAGAAAATTGAAGATAAAGTAAATATTTAAGATTTATGAAAATAAATGTTAGCACAGTACACACTGTCCCTCTGTATGCATTCAAACATCAGGTTTGCAGGTTCGGTCAGTGTCAGCCAGGCTTCTAATACGTATAATACATTTAAGATCAAAACCCAAGAGCTGTATAATAATAGTATACAGTGTGTATCGCAGGACAACCCTGGGAACATGTTAACCCCTTAAGAACTAAGGCAATTGTTCAATTTCTATAAAACAAAATCTAGTATATGTGTTATATGTTTGTTCAACAATAATTATTTTTTTTTACCAGATTAGTCTAAATCCTAATTCTGATTTTTTAAGAACATGAAACTCAGCAGCATACACACAATGAGGCAGATCAAAGATAAAGCTTTTATAAATAAGGTAACGCAATGGAATCTCAATTGGGATCTGCCATGCCATCAGCACGCATTATTCTCTTTTGTAATAGGATATACACAATTCATTTAAGTGATACGACAGTCATGAGTTAAAATACTGTAAATAAATTTGTGAAAAGTAGAGAAAAGCATCAGACATAGTTAGAGCTGTAATAACAATATGGATTCCGTCTCGCCAATACATTAAAAGACATTCAACCCCAATTAACTCAATAATAATTCAAATTTCAATTTTCTAAAATCATGAGAATCAATAAGCAAACTGTTATCTATTCCATTTGATTAATAATATTTTACCTTAAAGCAGACATACATTCATGGTCTGATTTCCTAATACACTACAGAACTTCTTTTTAACCACATTATATTGGTTGATACAGGCTTACCCCTGCCTTTTTATTTTAGCACTTGTAAGAACACAAAATGGAAGATCAGATAGACATTTTTATGAAAAGCTTCTGTAGGTAGTATATTGCTGTCAAACAACAAAATATACACGCACCAGTCTTGCGTATCTGAAAAAAAAATGTAAATTAGACAAAGAAACATTTAGGTCACAGGAATGCCAGCAAAGGCTACTTTTCTCTTTTAAAAATATTATCTTTTAAAATGTTATCTACATCTGCCAAGAATCAATGTCTGTATGCTCTCCATTTTAATGTTTTCAATCCCTCCCCATTATGGAAAGGGAAGTCATTACACTGGGGGGAGGCAGAGTTTCTACAGTACATTTATCTATGAGCAGTTCCCTATTGCCTGATGAATATAATGTTCCAGTCCAAGAGTAGGCAGAATCAATTTTGGATCCTGACCCAGAGGTTAAAAACCACTGGTTAAAATGTACAGGGAGAAATATTAATTAATTTAAGGGACACTATAGTCACCAGAACAACTACAGTTTAATGTAGTTGTTCTGGTGAGTATAATAGCTTCCTTCAGGCATTTTCATGTTGCCCCTAGGGACACCTCCTATGGGAAAGCATTGGATTGGCAAAAAAATCGGCTATTTTGATGATGTCACAAAGTGGGCGGAGCCAGAGCTGGCGGACCCGCTGCGCTGGAAATAAGGTGAGTTTTAAACTTTTATATGGAGGATAAGTGGGGGTGGTAGGGGCAAGCCACCTATATGGTGGGTTTAGCACTAAAGGGTCAGGAATACATGTATGTGTTCAGGACCCTATAGTGATCCTTTAAATCAAAATGGCCACCACCAGCAAAACAAACATTTAGGGAAGGGAGTAGTCTGCTCTATGTTGGCCAAGTATTAAATTTAATCAGCATAGTCTTATTAGTATATGTTAATAATATATGAAAAGCTTCAGAAACCAGATTATTGTGTCCTTATAATTCCTTAATACTAAAATGTTACCTGAAATACCTGGCCTAACTATACCATTACTGCTATTTGATTGTTCAACCAATATCTTGTATTACTCCCCCTCAATTAAAGACATACACATTTATTAAGTTATAGTGTAGTTGCAAAAAGAAATGTGTTTGTATTCTTAATATTGCATTGCTATATACTGTATGCATTCCATAAACTATATTATTTGTTTAACTACGCAAGCAAACCATTCCGTAGCATCTTTCTTTTTTTAAACCATTAAACCAGGAGAGAATTGCATCTTGTAATCATGATTTAGTACACAGTGTAATTTACTAGAACGATTTAGTAAATGACGTGAATGTGTTACATGGTAAATTTGTTACAGACTATTTCTGTCTAGGATATTCATGGTCTCTGTGTTAACTGCAGGCTGCACGCTGAGTGGTAACAGATTTAACTCTCTGAGGTCCAGGACGTTGAGTAAAATATTGCAGAGTTATTTGCTTTTCTTCTAAGTTGCACTCAATAAGTTCAATTACCTTTTATAAAGAAACATCTTCCACGAGATGTAATAAGTTGTAATATTACTAAAAGGATAATGCACAACGCTGAACGCCGTGTTAGCTATCCTGTTTACTGCAATCTCACTTGCATATTGTATAGGTTGCCAAACCTAGGCACCGGAAAACAGAATTCTATGCACAAGGGTTGGTCGGATTCCACTATTGCACTGTTTTATTCTTGTTAAAAAACTTGGTGAGACACCGCTGAGGCACA